CCCTAACCCTAACCCTAAACCCTAATTCCTAAACCCTAAGCCCAAACCCTAAACGCTAAAAAATGCGAAGCCGGAAAAGAACCCCCGCCCTAAGTTTCGGTGCTCTATACCCATCGGCCCCATAGTAGTTCCTTTTTGTGGCTCATATTTAGGATCCTAGTCGGGAATCCCAAAAAGGAACTACTACCCTAGACCCTAAACACTAAACCCTAAAACCCTAAAACCCTAAAACCCTAAAACCCTAAAACACTAAAACACTAAAACCCTAAAACCCTAAACCTATGGGGCCTATGGGTACTCCAAGGCTCGGTCCTTCGTGGCACCGTTAATCGCACCGCACTTGGTGTGGCCCAACACCTCTCTGCCCAGGGTTAAGGGTTTAGAGTTCCAGTGTTGGTGGGGAAGTTGTTTGCCCAAAGCTTCCGAAAGGCTGGTGGGGAAGGATTTAGGGTTTTCGCGGCTTAAGGTTTAGGGTTTACGCGGCTTAAGGTTTAGGGTTTAGGGATAGGGTTTACGGGGGCTTAGAGTTTAGGGTTTCGGGGCCTCTGGGGGTTAAGGGTCCCTGGCTTTAGTTTTGAAGGTTTTGGACTAGGTTCCCCAGTAGCACCTTAACTCCTTACTACTCTACCCTTTTTTGCGAGTATTCGGCTTGAAAAAGGGAGCCCAAAAAAGAACGCGGGCAAAAGGGTGCTGCTGAGGAACCTAGAAAAGACGATGCAGGAAATCCCATGATAGTAGTTTGGGGCGTAAAGTCGTAAAGTTTACAGGGCTTAATTATTGCTGTCATGTCAGGCCGTCCGATGTCAGATTTTGTTTCAGTTGGACAGAAAGCGTATGACAGCCGCACATCGTGCCGAGGCAGTCGTTTCTGTACCACGATTGATGCGTGCAGGTGGACCAGGACTCTTGGAGTGATGCCTGAATGGCGGCACATCAGGCACATCCGCTGCGAATAGGCTGGATAGGCAGTTAAGATCGGTGTCACGGTGCTTCCTCTTGTGTTCACGAACTACCTTCCGTGACAAGCCAATCTGAACCATGAGGGGCGAGTGCCTGAACACCGACACGGTGCAGTGTGTTTGTGTGTGTGTGTAACTGCAGCAGTGCCATGACTGCAACGTGCATTGCGTTACCTGCTTGCTGAAAGACCTGGCGGCCGCTTCGCTACAAGTTCTTGACGACATGGAAGCAAGATAGTGACTGCATGCTCCTTGTAATGTAGGGGCCTTAATAGTTAGAATAGGGTTTTGGGTAGATTATACTACAAGTATAATAAGGAACCCCCAAGACCCTGTTCTAATTATTAGGGCCCCTATATTACGCATCGTGCAGGAATGGAACTGCAGGAAAGCCCTGACCAATGCCTCTGTCATCGATGCGGCGAGTTTTAGGGTTTAGGGCTTAGAGTTTAGGGCTTGGGGGATTAGGGTTTAGGGTTTAGGGTTTAGGGTTCAGACCACGTACTCCCGAAACCGACCAATCTCCACCGTAGTAATCCTTACCCCCCAAACCTAAATCCTACACCCTAAATCCTAACACTACTATCCCTAACAGGCTCCTTGTTCTAGGTCCTTGTAGTGGGTTCTCTCTAGGGATATTTAGCTTTTGCAAAACTTTTGGGGTGTAGGGTTTTTGTCTTTTGGAGGGTAAAGGGTTTGGGCTTTCTTAGGCCCCTGAACGCCCTAAGCCCCAAACCCCCTAAACCCTAAGCCCCAAACCCCCTAAACCCTACACCCCCTATATAAGCTCAAACGCTTTCTTAGGGCCCTAAACCCTAGTCCCTAAACCCCAAACCCTAAACCGGCTTTCTTAGGGCATAGGAATGAAGGTTCTGCGAAGGGTTTAGGGTTGAATGTCCGCTTCGAGTTGCGGTCTGCACGATCCTTTGGGCCTCACTAAACCTCAGGGTTGAGACCTATAGGGCTCAGGGTTTAGGATTTAGGGCTTAGGGTTTAAGGTTTAGGGTTTAGGGTTTAGGATTTAGGGTTTAGGGTTTAGGGTTTAGGGTTTAGGGTTCAGAGTTCAGGGTCTAGGGCCTAGAGGACTGCAAAAGCGCTTTTTCGGTGGTTTAGAGGGTGTAAGGCTTTGCCCATAGGCTCCATTGTAGTTCCTTTGTAGGACTACCTTATAGGATCCCGAAATATAGGCCACATAAAGCCCTAAACCCTAAACCCCAAAGGAACTACAGAGAGTTTGTGGCTTGAAGCTTGTGATCCACAGCTAAAACAAAACCTAAGCCCTTTCCCCATAGGTAGTTCTCTAAACTGGGGCCCTTGATACGTCCCCAATATAGTACGGCACCCTTACAAACAGCACCCTACAAGGGACCCTAATTTAGAGAATTACCCATATAGGGTATCTGCGGCTTGTTAAGCTTGGGACCCAGTCCGCAGCTTTAGTGCAACGTGGCAAATAGCATGATATGGGGGGGTGGCTTTAATTATATAATCATTACCTCTACTATGTTTGGGGGGGTCTTATTATTATAGTTATAGATTAATATTAATACACCCCAAAATTAGATCCTACAGCTCTCAGAAATCCCGAATGGAAGATCCAAAGCGCCGAATCTTCTTTCTATACTAGGAACTACTACTATGATTTGGGGAAGTATCCCCCATAACAGTACCTAGGACCCTTTGGGAAACCCTCTGAAACCATGAAACCAGAAAGAACCCTGGAGAGCACTACTGCACAAACACTTTTTGGACAGGAGGCGAGAATGAGCTTCGTGCCAAGAGCACCGGTGCAAAACCTAAGTGGAAAAGTTCAGCGCTGTTCTACGGCGGGGCTTAGTAACCCCTACACCATAAGCCCAAACCCGAAAACCCTAAACTAAACCACAAGCCGAAACCCCAACAAAACCCTAAACCCTAAACCCCCGAACCACACAGTTTGGGGGATTGGGGTATTTGTGTTAGTACGTATTTCTGCGTTATGCTCAAGCTCCGTTTTGCCTAAACCCTAAACCCTAAACCCTAAACCGTTTTTTGAAAGCTTTTTCGGCTCAGACGAGCTAACTACAAGTGCTCAAAGTCCAGGGCTTGGGGTTTTGTGGTTTTGTTTCCTCCGCATTTAGGGTTTAGGGTTTAGGGTCTAGGCTCAAAGTTCAGGGCTTGGGGTTTTGTGGTTAAGGCTTAGGCAAAGCAACAAAAGAGGTAAAGGACTACCTATAGTCTCCATTGTAGTTCCTTGTTTTGGTTTAACCAATTAAATATTAAGGATTGTATAAGGTATCCCCAACAAGGAACTACAATGGAGACTATAGGTAGACTGTACGGTTGCTTATAAAACATGCGACGATATTTGACTCGGCCTGTGTGGCGGAGATATTCTGGCTTCCCCTTGTCCACTGCCCCATTGTCTCAGCCGCTGACATCATGGGTCAACCTACCGATTTCTGTCTATGTCCGGGGTCACAGAGCAAACTTTAGGTAAGACATAACCTTAAGAACCTAAAACCTCAAGCAATGTTTCACTGGGGATTATATAACAACAAAACCTAGGCCTTATGGCAGCCACCAAACCCTCGATCCACACCCTGGAGTCCCATTCCTAGAATCCGACAAGCCTTGACGCGCCAAAATTGGGACTTTCGGGCATTTAGGCAAACCTTATGGGCTTATTGGCTTGCGGTTTGAAGGTATGCAGTTCAGGGTTACATGCGGCTGCAGACTTTGGGCTCAAACCGTTGCGTGGATCAAGTCCCAAACGTGGATCGCTACCCGGAGTCACACATGCTAAACGCGAAACCTGCAACCCCAAATCCTTCAATAGGAAGAGACAACCCGGACAGTTCGGGAAACTCCCTGAACAACCTCCTTAATGTTGGGTTCTCAAGATTTAAGGTATATTATACTATTAGTATTGGTGACTGTTTAGGCTTCTATATCAACACCTGCACAGTCGAAGCAACGCTTTCTGAAACTCCACCGTCTTTTTCAAGCTTCACGCTTTGAACATCCTGAGCCCCATAAAACCTTGACCCTAGCGGGCCCTGTGGAACAATGCACACTGTAGCCCAAACCCACAGTACTTCTGACGGGTAGTTCTCTTAGTTAGGGTCCGCCTTTAAGTCCCCAAAATACTACGGCACCCTTATAAAAGGGACCCTAAACCCTAAACCCTAAACCCTAAATCCCTAAACCCTAAACCCTAAACCCTGTAACTTAGAGAACTGCCCTGATTGATTCCCGGTGGCTCCAGCGAGCCCATCACGCTGCCCTCGGAATGGACGCACGTGTTGCCGGCGTTGCGGAGCACGAACAGATCCTTAGGGTTTAGGGTTTAGGGCTTAGGGTTTAGGGAAGCTTAAACCCTCGACTCGACGGCAAACTGACCTTCCATCGGCGTCTTAGATTCGGTCGAGTCTAGTGTTCAAGGTTTCGGGTTTTGGGTCTGGGGTTTAGGGGAGAACCTGTAACCGCAGACCCTGAACGCATGATTATAAGGTATAAGTATAACTCTGTATAACTAACCCTAAACCCTAAACCGGTATAACTCTTAAACGCACTGGGTTTTTGATCCCCAAGAAGGGGTTTGGTCTTCGTTTTAAGTTCAGGGCTTTCCGAGTCCAATCCAGGTACGTTGAATCGAGGCTTTCCTAGTAGGGGTCCCTCTATAGGTTCCCTTAAGGGTTCCTTTGGTAGAGAGGGGTTCCTGATGAATTTAACGGGGGTTTTGGGATTTATCACATCAGCGGTACCTATAGAGAGACCTTGAAGGTGCTGTTGCTTGCAAGTACCCCCTATAACCTAAATTCCCAAACCCTACTGCACAAACCCTAAACCCTGACCCCTAAACCCGAATCCGCAACCCCCGAATCTTCAACTTGTATTTAAATTGGTGCCTTTGGGGACGGTGTGTGATTTACGGATTTATTAGGGGCTTTGGGGCTTGGGGTTTTAGGTTTTGAGAAGAAAAAAAGGTTTGTTGATAATTGTTGGTGGTTTGGGGGGGTTAAAGGACGGGTTCTGGGGTTTAGGACTGAAATTCAGGATGTTGTTGGGGGGTTTAGGGTTGAGGGCTTAAGGTAGCATGCTTGAGTTATTGGGGCTTGTAGGAAGTTTAGGACATAAAGGTGCAATGGGATGTTTTGTGGTTCTCGAGTTTTCCGGGCTTATGCGTAGGAGGTTCTAGGGCCTTCGGCCTACCGGGGTTTGGGGTTTGTGGGTCTTGAGTCTACGGGCTGCGGCCTGGGCTTGAAACCCGACATCCTGGTCCAAAACCTAAACCCTACAGCCCTCAAGCCCTAAATCTCTAAACCCTAAAACCCTAAACCCCCAAAAACCCCAAAACCCTCCTAAACCCTAAACCCTCAAACCCCAAAAACTTTCCTAAACCCTAAACTCTAAACCCCCAAACCCCTCAACCCAACATCCTAAAACTCAGAAGGATCCACGTTTCGGGGGTTGGACAGCAGAGACAAAGAGGCCCAAGGGCTCCAGAAACCTAAAGAAATGGGCTTAGGGTATCTTAGGGTTTAGGGTTTACTGGGTTTAAGGTTTAGGGTCTACTGGGTTTAGGGTCTATTGGGTTTAGGGCCTAGGCCTATATAGGGGTTTAGGGTTTAAGGGTTTGGGGTCTACTGAGTTTAGGGTTTAGGGCCACAATTTCGGCCAACAGGTACCTAAGGCATGCTCGATGAAGTGAAATCTGTGGAAACTTGCCCTCTCGTTCTGGGCGAAGAAGTGCAGCACCAACTTTCGGAAGGCAATGCGCCGATGCACGCACAGCAGGCCTGGGTGTGTGTGGGTGTGTGTGCAGGCACCGCGAAGATCAGCATCCGGTCCTGCGAAGGCTGACTCTGTGAGTCTCCGCTCAAGATAAACAAGGATCTGTTTCTTCTCTGCGGGTCGAATTGTGACCTCCGGAATGGTGATCAGTGCACTGGATTGAAATCCGCAGAGTTCAAGTTGACAAGGCTGATCCCTCTGCTTTCTTGCAGCAGCCCGTCGGAACAGCGGAACAAGTAGTTCAGCCCATCCTGGTGGACAATCTTCAAATACTGGGTGTCCGCAATCATCGACACCAGGTTCCCAGAAATGGGCATGCACAAGTGCACATGAGCACACGACATCCAAGTACGAAGGCGCGCGGACGGACATTTTGTTCACCTCTTGGCCCTTTTGGTCTTGGACTTCGCGGCCTCCCGCGCCGCAGCCTTCTTCGCGGCCTCCTTCTTGGAGTTCTTGACCTCTTGCTGGAAGTGTAAGAACTCTTGCTCCTCGATGGTGGCAGACCACGGATCTGGGGTGCTCATCTGGACGATGACGAGGAGGCGGAGGCTGCTCTCTTGCCGGGTGGTGGCGTCTTCGGCTCTTGTGGTGGCGTCTTGGGCTCTTGTGGCGTCTTGGGCTCATTTCGGGGTATGCCTGGCATCCAGTCTGCAAGACCCTTCTAAGGGTTAAGGGTCAACTGGGTTTAGGGTTTAAGGGTTTAGGGTCTACTGGGTTTAGGGATTACCCAGACATTTAAAAATCCCTTAATTAAGGAACCCCAGACGAGATGCCTCATGATGCTGACCCTAGAACCGAACACCGAAACCCTAAACAAAGAAAACCAGTTGTGTTTTAGCATGAGTTCTTGCAATACCTTATGAAGAGCATTTTTATATCAACTGCACGACTGTTTATTCAGCATTCATATCCCCCCAAGAAAGACCAGAAATCCAAAATCACAACACAGAAATCTCAACCCACCAAACATCCCCGCAACCCTGTGCTCCTGAACCCTGAAACCTTTGACCCTCAAACTCTAGACCCTGAAACCTTAACCACAAAGTTTCGTAGGCCGCCAGGTTGCTCCAGGAAGCCCATCGAAGACCAATTCAAGCCTCTGGCAAGGAAATCACTACAGTCCTAAACCCTAAACCCCTAAACCCTAAAACCAGTAAACCCGAAACCTAGTAAACCCTAAACCCGTTGTGCCTCTGCGGTTTGGAGGCTTTGGGTTTGGGTTCCGGGCTTCTGGGGTTTCGATTTCAGGGTTTTGGGATTTGAGGGATTGGGGAAGCAAGTGACGCAGGGTGTGCGGGAGGTGATCAGACATATAATCTTCCTACCATCTGTCTGAAAAGGGCCACTTGTGTCAATGAAAGCAACGACAGAGATAGCATTGCCAAGACATTCCCTAGACCCTAAACCCTAAACTGTGGCTCCTCAATGATGAAATCATATCCCTAAACCCTAAACCCTAAACTTTAGCTCCTCAGAAAAATGCTGTGTAGCAAGAGGACACCTGCAACTGAAGGACCGAAGCTCCGAAACCCGAGCCAGAAACCATGAACGGTTTAGGGTTTAGGGTTTAGGGCTCGGTGAGCCGGGGCCTTAATAATTAGAATAGGGCTCCTGTAAAGGGATCCCTAAAGGGTTCT